TTCGCTACTCGAGGACTATTACTAATAGTCCTCTAGTAGCATAGCCAATTAAAATGCAGGATTTGCATTAGTCCACTAGTTGGGTGATACTAATAAAAGATATTCTAATCTCAATGAGTTGTTATCAAAGGTAAATAGTTGCATGTGACATCATTTCCAGAGGAAATACAATGACAGCTATCTACACAAAACAACAACAACAATATTGCATTTAAATATTTTCATTACACATTTACATTGCTCCTGTGACAAGCAGACTTAAGCATACACTGCAGAATAAATATCACTTTGTTCTTGACGACACTAAATAAATGATCACACCATGCAAACTCCCTACTATGTTCAAGCCATGTACAGTACAAACCCACATGTGGGAAACTAGTGGTTTAAGAACCTGGTGGCAGAAATGTATCATTTTATAACCTAAAGATATAAGAACCTGCTTAGCCAAGTAAGATCAAGCAGGTTCCTATATGTGGGTTACAATAGACCAATTTCGATAATATTAAAATTCAGCCTAACACAATAGACCTCAGCACGAGGCTCTGGGGAATAAACCCCACAAACTCTGTAGTTATTCCCCAGAGCCTTGTACTGGGGTCTATTGTTTTAGGCTGAATTTTAATATATCGAAATTGGTCTATTAAATAAACTATTGTTATAGAGGCAACACTACGTAAACATTCTGAAGTGTGTTAGACTTTCATAATACAGTTGTGAATAACACCGCATATAAAAAATATATATATATTTAAGGATCAAACCCAAGTTTATATATTTTTCTGGTATTTAACAACTATATCTCCTTCATAGAAATTAAGAACCTAATAAGAACCTTAGCCTAAATTGCCAATAAGTACCCCCGAATACAAGAACCTATTTTGCCAGAGTACAAAAAGTGTAGGTTCTTACACATGGGTTTTCGCTGATTAGAAATACAAATCAATGCTTTCCTATTCAGCGACACTGTGTTTTATATCAAATTTGATTTTTTGGTGATAAGTTTATTTATCTAATGGTTCTAGTTTCAAAACATAATATAATAATATTTATTACAGGAAGCTCTCTCACCTACTGGTGATATACAGAGAGGTCCTGTTCTAAATATATCATTAGTCACACAAATAAAGGAATAAAATATGTTCTAAACCTAAAATAATGCAGGAAAAAAAAAACACACACACACATAAATAAGGACCACTCTTTTTCCATACACCAAAAGTAAAATTAATATGGCCTATTAATTAAACTTGATTGAGGATTCCTTTCACATCATA